GTACTTAACTTCATGTTATCTTAGTTCTGATGCCAGATTTGTGTTAAAGAAAAATCTTGATTTCCTTTTGAGATTGGAAAAAAAGACAGGTCTGATTATAATACAGTAAGTGATGTAGTAATCTTTTGAGATTCAGAAGGAGAACAAAAGCCATTGTAGTGGAATAATGTGTGCTTGGTCTTTTGAATTATTTTTTTTTTTAGTTTCCCCTTCAAGCTGTGTGATCAGAAATTTTGAAAAGACTCTTTATTTCAAACCTAAATGATGACGTTCAGGGGTTTGGGTCAGGGCGTTTGTCAGTAAATGAGATTCAGATGATAGAATCCCACATGAATTTTAATTCGTACCGCATAGTTCAGCAAGTCAAATCTTTTGTTTTAATATTAACATGCCCAGCTTGATATAATAATTACCATTTTCTAGAATGAATAGATACACTCTCACCAAAAGCGATTAGTACCCAGCCAGCTCTCTAATCCTGGAGCTGATGGGATGTCAGGTTTTCTGTGCAGCCGGGAGTTTCGGAGCTCTGTGTTGGAGCTGTGCTCTCAGACGTGGGTTTGCTTGGCTGACAAATGTGCCTGTGTTGAATTACACTGACTTTAATAACTCCCAATTCTGGCAGCTCTCGTTGGTATTTCAGAACTTCATCATATTGCAACCACTTTTAATTACTGCAAGGAGAAAGGCTGTGATGCAGTTTCACGTGCTGACAGATTTGTATGCTCCCTAATGTCTTGCCACACTTCTCTTTGATGTTCTCTCATATATATCTTTCTTATTTATCTCTCTGTCACGTTTGGGGGCTTCCTGGCATGCTGGCACAAAACTTCAGAGCTGTGGTCATTGCAAGAGGAGCAGGGAAAGAATAAAGTCAATATTTATATACCTTTTTCTATTCCTAGAACTACAGAATGCAACTCTATGTGAATGAATTCCTAATACTGGGTAGATAGTAGTTGCAGAGAATAAAGACGTGTTGAGATGGGCTTCGTCTCCTCCAGCGTCCTCTGAGCACCGTGCAGAGCCGTGTATCTAAGCTAATTGTCAGGGCTCTATTTCCAGTCAGTGAAGAGGAACAGGCTCTTGGCATGCTGTGTTTCAGCTGACCCTTTTTAGCCATCTCTCTTAGAGGGAGATGAATCACACCACAGAACCACCAACTTCTCTCTAGCTGACTCTCAAAAGGACCTCGAGTGACATGTCTGCGCTGTACGAGTCTGACGTCAAACGACATGAACCCCTCCCGCTGAGTTTAGCATCAAAAGACCATATGGGCTTGATATGAAAGCAGGGGAGCGAGCTCAGAAATACTCACTTAGAGCATCCTGGGATGAAAAATTCCCAGCTGCCTTGCAAACGGAGTTCAAAATTGCTTTGCCAAGTTGAAACTATTTATTTACATTTATTAGCACAAGCTACACTCCAGCACGGGGGTTTGAGCTGAAAAAGCTTTAGGAACGGATACGCTCGGGCACCCAAGTCTGCAAGTTCTGTTTTGGGGGAGGTTCAGGGTTGTCATGAAGCAATTCTCCTGAGAACACAACTGATCTTGGCAATTTTCTGCATCATTTGTATTCTCTGGACGTGCAGGACAGAGCTGCTGTCGGGACTGCGGGTATCTGGTGTGAAAACAAATGCCCTTGAAATGAGGCGTGTATATAATGGGGGCATGTATATAATTGGGACATAAATATGATGATATATATGAGGATCCTAAACCCATGGTCCTGAGGGCTTATCCCTTCAGCATTATAAAAACAGATGAAGCGTTAAAATCCTGATACTCATGTAGAACTGTGCCTTGTGGGCTAAAGGTGCAGGGCAAGGTGAATTCCACTAAATCTGCCCCTAGACCAGGGCAGACAAGAGCTGAAGCTGCGTCCGTGTCTCGTTCAGGATTTGCAGTTGGGAATTCCCTGACGTTGGGATCGATTGAACATCCCAGCTGTAAGCTCCGTTTCCCTAGTTATTTGAGTCATTATTATTTCTTTGTATATGCTGCTGAACAGAGGATTTGGTTGAGCCAACACCACTTGTAAGAGCCTGGGGGCGTTCACCTGTAGAGCCCTAGAATTACCATGGTTGGAAAGGACCTCTAGGATCATCAAGTCCAGCCTTCCTCCCAGCATTTCCCAAACCACTAGACCTCAAGTGCTACATCTACTCGCTACTTGTTTTTTGAACCCTTCCAGGGATGGTGACTACACCACCTCTCTGGGCAGCCTGGTCCAGTGCCTCACCACTCTCTCAGAGAAGAAGTTCTTCCTAATATCCAGTCAAAACTTGCCCTGGCACAACTTGAGGCCATTTCCTCACATCCTATCATAAGTAATTTGGGAAAAGAGACCAACACCAGCCTCACCACAGCCTCCTTTTAAGTAGTTGTAGAGAGCAATAAGGTCACCTCTCAGTCTTCTCTTCTCCAGACTAAACAACCCCAGTTCCCTCAGCCAGGCTTCCTAAGGCATGTTTTCTAGCCCCCTCACCAGCCTTGCTGCCCTTCTCTGAACCTGCTCCAACACCTCCATGTCCTTCTTATCCTGTGATGCCCAAAACTGGACCCAGGACTCAAGGTGTGGTCTCACCAGTGCCGAGTCCAGGGGCACAATCACCTCCCTGCTCCTGCTGGTCACACCGTTTCTGATCCAGGCCAGGATGTCATTGGCCTCCTGGGCCACCTGGACACACTGCTGGCTCATGTTCAGCTGGATGGCCACCAGCACCCCCAGGTCCTTTTCTGCCTGACAGCTTTCCAGACACTCCTCCCCAAGCCTGGAGTGTTGTCTGGGGTTGTTGTGACCCAAGTGCAGGACCTGGCACTTGGCCTCATTAAACCTCATACAACTGACCCCAGCCCATTGCTCCAGCCTGTCCAGATCCCTCTGCAGAGCCTTCCTACCCTCAAGCAGATCCACACTCCCACTTGATTTTGTGTCATCTGCAAATTTACTGAGGGTGCACTCGATCCCCTCATCCAGGGCGTTGATAAAGCCATTAAACAAGACTGGTCCCAAAACCAATCCCTGAGGGACACCGCTTATGACTGGCCACCAAGTGGATCTAACTCCATTCCCCACAGCTCTCTGGGCTTGGCCATCCAGCCAGTTTTTAACCCAGCCAAGAGTCCACCTGTCTAGGCTGTGACCCACTGGGTTCTCCAGCAGGATGCTGTAGGAGACAGTGTCCAGGGCCTGGTGCAGAGCTCCATACCACACATCTTCCTTTGCTCAGCATCCTCCCCTTGCCTGGGGGCCTCAGGGACCTGCCCTGGCCGCTGGCCCTTCGAGGCCAGGCTTTGATGCTGGAGCTGGCAGTGCTGGCTGGGTTGTGCTGCCCTGAAAGGAGCTCCTGGTTTGCACAGGTCTTGGAAGGTGAAGGATGAAGGAAATATTGTCATGTAAAGTCTGTTTGGGATATAACATTTTGGACACTATTCCAGTCGCACACTTTGACTGCTTTCCTCAGGGCATCCTTCCCTGAGGATGTCTGCGTGTCAGGATTTCACTTCATCCCGTGGGGATTGGAGCTGTGTGCTGATGGGTGGTGAAGGAAAATCCCTTCTGTTCAGCCTAAGTTCTGAACAATTTGTGTCTGTTAGTTCTTAGCCTCCTCTTGCAGAACCGCTTAGCTTGGAAAGGAGATTTAAGCTCATCGAGTGTTGGGCTCAATTTTGCTGGGGCAGAAACTATTTCTTAAGGCTTGTACAAATCCACCCTTTTTTTCCCCTCTGTATGTAACATATATATATCTTTAAATATATCCAGATTCCGTGTTTCTGTGATTTGAATGAAGTTATCAGTCACTTGCAAAGTTGTACATGTTTAACACAGAACTTGCATTAAACCAACAAGTGACATAAGCCATGTGAGGTGATTTCACAGCTCTGGTTACAACAAAGCTTTTGAGTTTGAACTTCGGTGTCATCCTCTGGTAACTAGGTTATGATAAATTTTTGCTATGTATTTGGTATTTCTTGCATAAAAGAGATATGTTGTGCTTATGTGAAGTGGCAGCTATTTAATAAGATTTTAATAAACAAATAGCTGAATATCTGAAGCAGACATATCTGAAGGGACCTCGGGAGATCATCTTGTCCACCCCACCTGCTCCAGCAGGTCATCCACAGCAGGGTGCCCAGGGTCACAGCCAGGCAGGTTTGGAATCTCTCCAGAGCAGGAGGCTCCACAGCCTCTCTGGGCAGCCTGCTCCAGGCTCGGCCACCCTCACACCAAAGAAGTTTCTCCTCCTGCTCAGATGGAACCTCCTGGGTTCCAGTTGCTGCCCATTGTCCTTTGTCCTGTCCCTGGGCACCACTGACAAGAGTCTGGCCCCAGCCTCTTGCGCCCTGGGCACCCTTTATCTCTTGACCATCATTGAACAGATCCCCTCTGAGGCTTCTCTTCTGCAGCTCAGCAGCCCCAGGGCTCTCAGCCTGTCCTGGCACAGAGATGCTCCAGGCCCTTCAGCAGCTTTGTAGCCTCCACTGGACTCCCTCTGGTAGTTTCTTGTCTCTCTGGTACTGGGGAGCCCAGCACTTCACCATGGCAGAGTAGAGGGGGAAGAGAGAAGACTTTGGGCCTTTTTGTGATGTCATTTGGAGCATGATACAGTGACTTGAGGAATGCTCTGACTGCTAGAAGCTGCACACCCTTGCATTTACAAAGTCCCTTTCTTGACATCTCCCTGAGCACATCCACTCCTCCAGACCTGACCTCACTGCTCTGGCCGTGTTACACAACTGGATGGAAATCATTCCAGAGGAGGTGGTGGTGTTGTGGTGCTCTGTGGTGCCATCTCATGGAGATGGAGCATTGTCATTCCTCCCTGTCACCAGTGAAAGAGGGCTGCCTGTCACTCTCCAGGCTAATAATTATGGGTAAATATGTCTTAAAATATCTGTATGAGCACCTTACAGACCTCATCACGAATACTAATAACTGATGGACAAAAGGGCATATTGCTATTCTTAATTTTCGTCAATTCTCTCCCTCATACAGGCTCTTGATGGAAATGTATATGACCACCTTAAGGATTATTTAATGGCATTCAGCAGGACTGAACTAGAGACATGCCAAGCTGTACAAAACACATTCCAGTTTTTACTGGAGACTTCCAGCAGGGTAAGTTTTAACTGAATGATCCTTTGTAACTGAATACCCACAGCATATATAAGTTCCCAGGCTTAAGATTTGCTTCCAAAATAATGACAGAACTGAAGGATTATTATTTTGCGTTACTCCTGAGTGGTATTAAGTTAAAAGAAACCAGACAGTTTTCCTGGGGAGAATTTTTCCTATTGCCACCCAGCTTGCATTCTCATGAGTGCACTTGCAGGGTGCAAGATCTTTGGAGAGCAGCAACCAGGAGATGCTGAGTTACCCTCACTCGCGGTGGCTGGAAAGAGAAATTCCAGCTGAGGAACCTGGAACTGCATTAGTCATCCATCACAATAAAGCCCTGTGAAACTGTTTGGATCGTTGCTTAATAATTGACTGGCAACGTGAAAACCAAAACATTACTGTGTTTTCTCCCTTGAATTAAGAATGGCAAAGAGAGAAAATGGGTTAGTCTTGTCACGGATGTGGTTTGTTTGCTCTGTCGAGCAGCCAGAGTCAGAAATATGCCTTTGCTAACAGGATAATTTTGATAATTAAATAATTTATCTGCCAGGCTGAAAAAAAAAAAAATAATAATTGCCATTGAACTCAAACAAGCTTTGCTGCAATCAGAATATTCCTTTATATGTTTACTTGAACCACCTGCACAGAAACAGAGCTCATATATGCAGGAGCTTAGGTAGAAGAAACCTATTTAACACGTTCCTTATTCACCTGCAAGAGTGATTAAAACTTGGATTAAAACGTGGCTTCCTGCTTGCTCGTCTTTGAATTTACTTGGCAGCAACTGTAAAGATAATGAAAATAGCATTTTATCTTCTTTTGGACTTTTAGTCATTTCCCTCAGTGTTAATCATTCAGGTCAGCTTCAAATGCCTTCCCCAAAAACACCATGTTGGAATCTTTTAACTAAGTATGCTGATTATAATGTCTACATGTTCATCATTCATTTCTCAACATTGTGTTAAATCCCTGGTGTTCAGAATTGTTGGAGATCTGGGACTTTCAGTGAACTACACTGTCAATTCCAAACAGCTCCTTTGCGTGGGAATAGCTTCATCATGTGCTCGTGTGCGCTGAGCTTGTGATAGCTTGTTTCAGCAAGCCTTGCTGTGGCCAGAAGCCTGCAGGTCTGGCTTGTTTTACACATTAACAACGTCACCTTGGAAGAAAATATTTCTGTTTCTGCTTTACTAAGTTAATACAGTGCCTGGAGAAGGAACAAAAATGTAAATACAGCTGTCAGGTCCGAACAGGATTTTTACAACTCATTTCTAGCTCATCGGCACCAGTTTTCTTCTCTCCTTGCAGCTCAAGAATGCAGAGAAGAAAAACTTGTGTTACAATGGTACTGAAAATGTTTGTTTCCCTCTGAAACACTCAGAACATCAGTCTGTGAGTTATTCCACAGACACAGGCATTGCCCATCCTTTCTTTTGAGCTTTCAGCAGTTTGTGCAGGTCCATGTTGCAGGAATCGGGCAGAAAGGAGGAGTGGAACCAGAGTAGAAACTCTCTGTATGTGTGTGTCCAAAGTAGCTTGAGTTTTAGACATCTCACAAGCTTGTTAGCAATCCAGAAATTTGGAATAAACCCCAGAATGCCATCAAAGCAAAGATTTTAATTATTTATTGAGTTTTTTAATACTCTACCTGTTTACTGTTAGTTTTAGGTACAAGATCACAAACTTGCCAAGCTCCGTTCAGAAAAGACACTTCAGTTCCTTGGTAAAAACACTTTCACTTGGCCATCTGAAAAACATTTCTCTTTGGAGGATGGAATTTTATATTTGCTTTAGGACAAGAGAACTTGCTTCCCAGAAGCACCTGCTTTCCTCTTGACTCTTGGAGAGCCCGAGGTGGCTGCTTCCGATGGACAGGGCTGTGTTGGATTTATAAAATCATTAAGGTTGGAAATATCTCTAAGACCATCAAGTCCAACCATCAACCCAACACTGCCATGACCACTAGACCATGTCCCCAGGTTCCATATCCACCTGTTTTTTGAACTCTTCCAGGGCTGGGGACTCCAGCACCTCCCTGGACAGCCTGGGCCAAGGACTCACCAATCTGGCAGGAAAGAAATTCTTCCTAATATGCATAATATTCCTAGTATTCAGCTGCTTAGGAGATTGTCAGCCACTTAATGCTAATGCAGATTGAAGGAAAAGCTCAAACCCAGGTTTTCTGTGTAAAAAGCAGGTTTTTCACAGTTTATCATAGCATCATTTGTTGCAGCTTTGGAGGTTTTGTTGCTGCTAGGTGGGTGTGACCCGTGTCATTCCTCTGACATGTCCAGCAGATACTGCCCTGTGACACTGAGCATATCCAAATGCTGCTAAACTTCCTTTGCACTTGAACGGCCTTATTCAAGATCTGTACTTGTTGCACTTCTCTTTTGGAAAAAAACTGATTTTCTTTGGAACATTTTCTGAAATTCCGTTTGCTGTGTTGAATAACATCTCTGTGATGTTTCTGGTAAGACGCTTCACCAACCTCGGGCAAATAACTTCACTTATGCACGTCTCTGACTGTGCCTTCTTTCTACATGTGGTATATATTTAACATTTGGTTTCAAGTCTACTTTAACATGTCAATTGACTTTGACTTCATAAAGAAACTGTGTGAGAACGTTGTCTTCATTTCAGACTAACAGGAAATCTCTTTGGAAAAGCTGCTGCTTAATCCTGAGAACACTGTGTTATGTGGGAGTCTTTTATTTTCTTTTTAACAATTGTCAAATATCTTGTGTGTTAATTTTCTGGAATTCCACACTTTCCTAGGTCTCACGTTATAATACTTGTTCTCGTTTATGACTGAATACTGTTGCTTTGAGGGAAAATCTCTTTCAAGTTCTGTCGTAAAGTAGTTTTGTCTTCTTTGAGGAACTGGGATGCTTTTGAGTTCAAGGTCTATGGTGAAAGCTTATTGCATTAAAGTAACAGGGAGGGTTTTCACCTAGTCCGCAGTCACTACATTTTTGGGCTTTTTTTAGTTGAAATTGGTTTAAATTAGTTTTATATATCTGACATGGCACAGAGTTGTGTGCTACTCACACAACAAGAGTTGTGTTTGAAGCCATTAACCCTAACCCTATCATTACAAGCCCTTGTAAAAAGTCCCTCCCCAGCTTTGGGACAGGCCCCTGGAAGTCCTGGCAGGCCCCCAGAAGGTCTCCCCAGCTGGAGCCTTCCCCTCTGCAGGCTGCCCAAGCCCAACTCTCTCCTGCTGGGCTCCCAGCAGAGGGGTTCCCCCCTCGGGTCATTGCTGGGGCTCCTCTGGCCCCGCTCCAGCAGGTCCCTGTCTCTGCTGTGCTGAGGACTCCAGAGCTGCCCCAGCACTGCAGGGGGGTCTCCCCAGAGCGGGGCAGAGGGGCAGGATCCCCTCCCTGCCCTGCTGCCCACGCTGCTGGAGGGGCAGCTCAGGACACGGTTGGGTCTTTCCAGGCTGCATTTGCACAGTGTAGGCTCATGTGGAGCTTCTCATTCACCAGCCCCACCGAGTCCTTCTCCTCAGGGCTGGCTGCTCTCCATCCATCCTCCACCCTGACTGTATTTGTGCTTGGGATTGCCCTGGAGCTGCAGATCATTTCTCCTTTAGTGTTTCCTGATTTTCTGTTGAAGGGAGTTCCTACTGCAGTGTCCCTGTAAGCCTCCTCTGTATGTTTTCTACACGTTTGGATGTGTTTACATTGAGCTGCTCAAACTGGCACAGTAATTATGTACTTTTACTGTTTCAAATTACTTCATTATTGGCCCTGGAGGACTATTTACTTTCTTTAACTGAAGATTAATTTTTTACAGTTCAGTATTTCGATAACACCAGCAGCGACATTTTGCATTTTACAACACATTGGATTTACCATTGTACATACAGTGTAATCAGAATTCTCAGTCCTATACAATGCTGCTGCTATTTCTGAATAAATACTGTCTTTATTACACATTTCTGTACATTTAAACCCTCACTTTGGTAATAGATTTTTATAACTTCATGGTGCTATTTACACATTTTCAGCAATTGAGGCAGTGAATACTCCCTAGAGTTCTTCAGCCAGTGATGCTATTTTTTCACATTGCAATCACTGAGTTTTTCTTCATAAATATGTGTAAATTGTGACATAAGAGATTTGTTTAGGGCTATGTGTTGTGCTGTCTGCAATGTATCATTAAACAAATTTAGTAGCTGAAGTAGTTTTGGTTTAGCAAAACGCAAGCTTGAGAGTTTTCTCTGAAAGCAATTTAATAAAAAGAGATGAGTTTTGCCACTGATTTTGTATTCATTATTCCAAATAGTCGTTTCAGCTCCAGCAACTAATAATTTTGTGTAAAAATAAGACATTGCAGCTTAAGAAAGAACTGTGCACAAGAGATGATCCACAAGAGGAGAGAAAAATATTTATGGTGGTGACACCACACACAGTATCCTCAGTAGCTGGAGTTTTTCCCCCATTCAAGGTTCCGCTGCAGACTGATCTCTGTTTGACACAGTAACTTCAGCATTTCTCATGGGTTTAAGTCCACAAAGTAAGGATTCTGAATGGCCTTTGCTCTTTTCTCAGGTGGTGCGGGACTACAATCTCCAGCTGTTTTTACAGGAGAACTCCGTGTTTCACAAACCGCAGCCTTTCCAGTTCCAGCCCAGCGACAGCGACACTGTAAGGACCCTGCTCCAGTCCTTGATTTATTTGTTCTTGCTCTATTTTTAAGAACGTTGTTATAAATGGGGAAGAGAATCGTGCTCACTGGTTTAACCTCGTGCTATATTTTTGGAAAAGAAAGGGAAAGTGGCCTGATTCCACCAGCTCTGCTTGCAGCGGGTGATCACAACAAAAGCATCAAACAGGCTCAAATCATATGCAGAGGAGCAGAATCTTTTTCTGCTTCCAGACTGTGACTAGCAGTCCTGTGTTCCTCTGCTGTCAGCGTGGTTCTTACTACATTCTGTTGGCTTTTTATCACATTGGTGAGGTTCTCATAGTACTCACTAGTACTGGCTTACAATATACGTGATTCTCTGCCAAGTAAAACATCTATATACTTCTGAATTACTCAAAGAATAGCCATAGTTAACATATAAGAAGTTATTGATTTAGGAAGAATGCTGTTAAAACATTGCATGCCCAAATAATCTCTAAAAATAATTAGTTTGGTGTATGTGCTGCTTCCAAAGAAATGATTAATAACATTAAAATGGAGTAAATCGTGGTACGCTCATGCATTTCCAAACAGCACTTTAACACAAGTGGATTGTTGATGTTCTACCAAAATTACTAATGTTATTTTAAGAAATAACAGTTTTGAATAAGTCTAGATCTTTAAAACATGTGCAGCTTGTTATCACTTGAGTTCATAAGCAAATGGACTGGGGCAGAACTGTCTCGATCTGCAGTTCAGGTGGTTAAATTCCAGAGCCCTGTTAATAGATCTGTAAGAGTGATTTTTCCAGAGGCACTAACACCTATAACACACTTCCCTTTGTCTTTCCATTTTAACAAACTGTGATTCTGATTTTCCTTCCAGCTCCGTTGCATCGAGTTGGTTCTTCCCATAAAGTTTTAGGTTGTTCTTGATAGAGCGAGCAGAATCTAACTGCCTTTGCCTGCCTTTCTAACCTTTGCTGCTGTGTGTTTTCATCCCTGGGCAACTTCCACATCCAGAGTTTTCATGCAGTTCAGCTGGTGGATATTGAGCCCTCGCCGGTCAGTGCTATGAGAATGACTATAGCAGAGGTACATGGGAGTATTTGGGGTCAGCCTTTGGTGTTTGTGTCCTTATCTGTTGTGCATGTGGCTCGGGATGCTGAGTTTATATGTAGAGGTGGCAACAGAATGCATAATAGGTATGTAATTAAAAAAAAAGAGCTTCTTTCACAATGAAATTTAAGTTAAAGAAGAAAGAAGCAATTTCACTGTGGGGATCAGCTTCACACTTCTCTTTTGCACTTGCACAGCATTTGTAATTGATATTCGAATCTTTTGGGGGCATGAATTAAAATTTCACAGCTCAAGATAGTGCTGTGTGTAATTGGCTACTGCTCCAGTGTGAATGGGGAAGCTCGTGTAACTGGAGGATATTAGCAGGCACTGATGAAGTGCAGTCCTATTTCTAATTTAATTTTGTTCTTTTTCCAGAGGGCTGTCCCCTTGTACAACAGAACTGTAATTATTAAACTCTTTGACAGGAAAAATGACAAGATTCCTTGATGTAGCACTTGTGTGGTCTGAGAGTTCACACGTGTGCTGCTTGTGCAGCTTAACTTCAGGAGCTTTGGACAAGGCAGTGAGTGGGTTCTTCATAGAATCATTTGGGTTGGAACAGACCATTAAGATCATTGAGTCCAACCGTTCCCCCAGCACTGCCAGGTCCCCACTGACCCATGTCCCTCAGCACAACATCTCCACATCTTGGAAACCCCTCCAGGGATGGGGACTCCACCACTGCCCTGGGCAGCCTTGCACAGGCCTCCACAACCCTCCCGGGCAACAAATTGTTCCTCAGGGCCAACCTCAGCCTCCCCTGGCACAACTTGAGACTCTTTCCTCTTGTCCTGTCACTTGTTCCTTGAGTAAAGAGCCCGACCCCCACCTGGCTCCAACCTCCTGCCAGGGAGCTGTGGAGAGCCAGAAGGTCTCCCCTGAGCCTCCTTTGCTCCAACCTCTACACCCCCAGCTTTGATCAGGCCCAGAACTGACCCCAGGATTTGAGGTGCAGCTTCCCCAGTGCCCAGTGCAGTGGGATGATCCCTGCCCTAATCATGCTGGCCACACTAGTGCTGACCCAGGCCAGGATGCTGGTGGCCTTCTTGGCCACCTGGACACACACTGGCTCCTCTCCAGCCAGCTGTCACCCAAACACCCCCGGTCCTTTCCTGCTGGGCACTTTCCAGCCACTCTTCCCCTAGCCTGGAGCACTGGGTGGTGTTGTTATGACCCAAGGGCAGGACCCAACCCTTGGCCTTGTTGAACCTCATCCCCTTAGCCTCAGCCCATGGATCCAGCCTGGGCAGACCCCTCTGTAGAGCCTTTGACCCTCCAGCAGATCAAGACACCCGCCCAATTCGGTGTCATCTGCAAACTCACTGAGGGTGCCTCAGTGCTCTTGTCCAGTCATTGATAAAGATATGAAAGAAAATAGTCCCCAGTATCGAGCCCTGGGGACACCACTTGTGACTGACCTGAAGCTGTCCCTGTCCCCCAGAAGCAGTGACTACTTGCCTAACCTATTTGGGCTGTAAAATTACTGCACTTATTCATTGTACTGCATTTTTTGGAGCTTCCAGCTCCTGTGCTGTAACCAGTTTTCACAGAAATAAATAAATTATCCAGGCTTCTTTATGACCCGTGCGTGCAGTTATGCTCCACCAACAGGATCCTACCTAGGCAATTGCAGGTTACATGTTCACCATTCCTAATCAGCAAGTACAAAAGAACGAAGGCATTTGCTCAGGCTCTTGAGTTTGTTAGCAATGATATATTTTCTAATTAATCAAACAGCATTTAATTGAGGAACAATTATCAAGCATTCTTTAGCCACATATTCTTTTTGTTGGCTTTGAGTCTTTGTGGGCTGTGCATGATAATTTTCACACTGAGAACTTAACACGGAAAGAAACCTAAGTAGAGTGACTAATACATTTAGTGAAATGTTTAATCTTAACCTTTTCCAAGAACAACTTATGGCCTCTCTTCAAACTAAATACCTGACCCACGGTGACTGGGGTCGAACTTTGGAGCGTTTTAAGTATTACTGGAATGAAATTTTGAGTGTTGTAGGCAAGAAGAATGTTATAAACATAGATCTGGAACTCACCTACATGGAAAACTCGGAATGCTTCTGTAAATTCTGGTTTTACAAGGTCCATCTCCAAAGTTTGTGTTTGAGGGGAGAGCTGTTGCCAAAGACTGTTGCAGAATGGATTTGCGTGCAGTCCTTAGGCAGGGGCAGAACACACAGCTCAATTTGCTGTCAAAATACCCTCAACATGCAGAGTCAGAGCCTCCAAAAGAGACTCTGCCTAAGAAAGGTAGTTATGAGAAATGGTTTTCCATCAGTTTTCAGGATTTTTGTTTTCCTAACATCACACTAACACTGGCTTTTCTCCACAGAGAAACACTGCAAAATATTTTACATCAATCATCTATTTTCCATTATCTAAACAATTGTTTTGAGCTTAACTTTAAACATTTGTTCATGTTACTAAATTATTTAGTGTCTCAGTTATTTTCAACTGACAAATTCATATTTTAAAGTAAGTTTCTAGTTTATTTTTTTTTAATAACAGACTGTTTTCCCTTAAGGAGATGGTTTAAGAGGACCCAGTAAGAAATCATTGATAAATTCCCAACCAGCCTTAATCCTTCCAATAAATGAATTCACAAAACAGACTGGACCTTTATGAACAATAAAAAATAAAAGAAGAAAATAAAAGAGTCTTTTGAAATACCTTCAGCCTCACAAGAAACACCAGTCAGCACATGCTGACTTTACTGGGAGGCTGTTGCTATATTCAGGGTAGTGACAGTTTAATCATGAAACATCCTCCCACGAGGCAAAGGGTATTTATGAAGTCCACAGAAATCTGTTGCCTTGCAAACATACTGTCCCCATGCTTCACAGATAAGCCCTGGCCATAAGAACGGGCCAAAATGCGAAGGAAATTAGCCAGCTTTTCTCTCTTTCCTGTTTGGAAAAGATTCTTTTTCCTTCAACAGTGTTTTATCATGTGAGAAAATGAGCCAGACGAGAAAAACCCCATCCATGGAGCAGGGGGATAGTGGCAACAAAAAGCTGACACTAAACTTTAGAGGCCTTTTTCCTGTTTTTTCCTCTACGTGTGGCCCATGACTATCGTTTCCCTTCCATGTTACGGATGCTGTTGTTTTCTTTGACCCCAAAAAAATCTGTTTTTCTCACTGTAGTTTGCAGAAAAACAACAGCTCGGTAGGATGGGTGGGAAGTTTTCCAGTTTCAATCCTCATTTCTTGGATGTACCTCTTTTATGGATGGATTATGAAAATAAAGATGAATTTCACTTCACTCTAATACACACAATAAAGTCCTGAATTTCTGAGCAGCTTATATGGAGTGATATAGAAGTTTTATAAGCTATACTTAAAAAAGGGCATTGTTCTTGCTCATGGCAAGGCAGACTTTCTCAGCTCTGCAAGTGCTCAGGTTTGAAAATAAATAGAAATGACTCTAAGTGGGAATCAGGACTCAGTTGAGGGCTCTGTTCTGTCAAACTTTACTTTTAGTAGGTTTTTGTGCATGCAGAGAGGCAGAAGTATTTACACATGTTTCAGCGTTGAATTTAGTTAAATATTTAAAATATATTTAAAGCTTATTTAGTATTCAATATGTTTAAATATTTTAAAATTCCTTCGTTTTCTAAAGAACAGATTCTGGCTTTATAATTATTGACTAGATTTTATTTGATATAAATATTTAAATACCAAGAAAGTTCGGGAAACATAAACTGCTAGTAAAAAATAATCCCTCACCTAATTAAGCCCAGACTAAGAAGTCCAGAGAATGCACTACTAGAATACAGCTAAGAGTTGGGTAGGCACAAGTGGGAGCCTGGCAAAGCCGGACTTCCCCTGACTAACTCAACATGTTTTGAGCGTGGCCAACCTGACTAAAACCGGTTTTACTTAATTCCCCCCACCCCAGTCGTGGTTAACATAAAGTCTGAGTTACAAAACTCACATTTGATGTTGATATTGAAAGGGTAGTTTGAAGAAAAGGGAAAGTCCACGCCATAGAGTTCTGGTTCTCTAACCTTAGGTTGGATTTTAACATTGTTTCTGATTTACCTTAAGGCTAATGAGCTGAGATTGGCTCACTAGCTAATCGGTTTTATTTTAATTTAGAGAGCATGCTGTTAGCATTCTGGTTTTTTAGTCAGGAAACACAATTTTTAAACATTTTCAGTGTTTTGGTTTTTTTTTTATTTTTTAAGGTTTCCTTTAAACTGAAGGAAATTCACTTTATGCAAAGCTCTGAATAATTTCTAACAGTGAGACCAGAGAGCAAAGTAATCCTTGAAAGAAGAGGCCACTTAAGACATAGACCTTTGTTTATACTGCTTTGAAAAGATCTACTAAATCATTTTTTCTGTGTCAGAGTTGATTCCAGAGGTCCTCTCTTTTTGCTTTGATTATTTCATGAGAGCAATTTTTCTGTATTTCTAGTTATAATAGCGTAGATTTTTGGAAAAGCTGGATGTGAATGCAGCTGCTGTGGTAGCTGAGGCAAATGAGCGTAATTGTGAGGGTGAAAATGGAAGTACATGAACGAAAAAATACTGCACTCTAATTTCAAAATTCATTTCAGTGAGAAGCTTAAAAACTTTTAAAAATAAATAAGATGAAAATTAAAAAAAAATAGTGGCTCCTAAGCTCTACTATATAAGAAAAGTGCTCAATACAAAAATATCAAGCACTAGCATCAACAAAGCTGTATTAATCATGGATATCTAACAAAAAAAGGGAACTCTTAAGATTCTAGTCCTTAAAAAAAAAAAAAAACAAAAAAAAAAAACAGAGATGGGACAAACCAGAGCTACAGCCTCTGCATCCTAAAAAGTTTGACATCAGCTGCTGCACCAATCTGTGTGCACAAGATGTTTCAGAGATTTCTAGCTAATGGATCAGTGATCTACCAAAATAATTATTGAACCAGAATCAAAAATGAACAACCCCCTAAAACCCAACTGGATAAATTATTT